TGGAAGTGAAGCGTGTTTGGTGTTCCAGTAAACTTTACAGGTCTAGCCCAGGAGTGGGAAACCATTCTCCTTGTTGTACATTTTTGGTGCCAGAGGGAGGCAGTGGGTAATGATTTTATGATATATGAGTGGCTGTGCTAAGATTTTCAGGGTTGTATGGGGTATATTTATTTATTACATTTATTCATTTATTACATTTGTATGCCACCCATCTCCCCCAACGGGTATATGTATATGTGCTTTTTACATATGCAGATATATTAGGATTAGTCAATGGTTTATATAGTTTTTTAAAAATCTATTTCCTCTCAGAATGAGCAAGTTTATTAGTTGATGCTTTGCTACCAAAATCTTGATATCTGGGAGCCACACAACAGCTCTAGAAACCATGTGTAGCCCATACAGGTTGTCCAACTTTGGATTAGCCAATAGCCAATAGGATTCTCTCCCAAGTTGATAAGAGTCAGGGAACTAATGTGAATCCAAAGTGCTTTGTCTAAGGCTGATCCCTAGATCTTTAATCCTGTGGTAGCCATGCCAGTTGGCAGCAGTCATGCACGCTGACACATACAGCACCACCCCAAGTAACTGTGCCCAATCCATGCAACTGTGTGTCAACACTTAGAGCTGACCAGTCAGAATAAATTACAGCCCAGAATGAACAACACCCATGGTACTCCTGTTTGTCATGTGGGCAAGTCTTCAAGTCTCCCAGCAGGTTAGTGACAAATAGAACCTAACATGACAGTTCTAACAGAACTTATTTCATGGTCCAGCTGCTGGACCACAGACCCTAAGGACAGCACTGGAAGGTACAAACAGCCATGCCTTCTAATCCCTTCTCTAGTTGCTTGAACTATTTCAATGAAAGGACACAGTATGTAGCTTTAGTCAAGGGTAACATGATTGTGACTCAGAAAACTTCTTTAAGAAAGGATGGAAGCTGGGGCCATTTCCCCTATCCCATTTGACACTGTTTCTATGCCCCATAAACTGGGCAAACCTGGTTTTAACTATTTTACCCCATCTCCCTGTGTTACTTCCGGAACAAAAAAAAAATAATGTGAGCCTTTCCAGCCAGGAGAGGCCCATTTCATTGATTCTCTACACTGTGAAGAGTGGAAAGTATCTGCATGCACAGGGTATGTGGGTCCAATTGTGCCATTTACTCCACCAGGATGTCTGGTTCTTTATACCCCAGCACAAGGTGGAAGGTCAAGAACAGTGACATCTTCTTCCACAATAAGGGGCAGTACCTCCTGTCATTTGCCAAAGAATGGACTTCTGTGGTAACAGGATGCAGCGACAGAAGTGGTGCGGATCAGACAAGGATTTAAATTCCTTTGGAGGAATTAGTTATCTGGTGGGAAGCAGATAGGACTCTATTCTGGACTTATTGCTGACATTCAAAGTCTGCACAGATTAACTGTGAATAAGCGTAGGTGAGCAGTCTGTGATCTTGGAGACGAAGCACTTTTCAGACGCAGCATTATGTGGTTGCATACATACACCTCCCAGCACATGAGTAATGGACTCTAGAGCTAATAGAATGCCCCCTATGGAGATGGGCTTGTAAGCTACAGCGATGGTACGGGTGATGTGATCATTCATTTGCCAAATATGCAATTACTGATCAGCAGGACTCTGCCTCTTGCAGGAGGGAACATCTATAATCACAAGTCCCCTATACTAGCCCCATTTCACTGCACAAACAGTAGCAAAAATCAATCTTTGGTGGTTTGAGTTGCAAAAATGACTGGATTTGTGTCAGTGGCATGGCTCATGGAAGGAAGGAAGGGAGATGGATTGGACATAAGGCAGACAAATTATATGAACAGTTTATATGAACAGACAGCATTTTTTAAATAGTCATATGGAAAAACAGAAACGGTAATAGCCTTTCCAAGCCATCTCTCTGTATTCCTTCTAATCTACCTTCTTCATTAGATTTAATGATTCACCCAAGTCTGTGAGCTCAGTAGAGCTGGAGCATTAAACAAGAACAGCTATTATTTTTGGTACATATGGATTGATACATACAGATTCTGAGCATCATCATGTTCCTTGAAGCCACTGACATGAGGGATGGTAACTTTCCAAAGTCATAAGCAGTCCACAATTAGTGGGGAATGAAGTTTGAAACTAGGGGTTGTTTTAGTTTGATGGGAATATTTGGGGGGACAGAGTGAATGGAAAAGGTGCCAGGGAGTGAGAAGAGCAAAATCTCTTTCAGAGGGCAGGTGCACTTGCGTGTTTTGCTACTGAGAATTAGAAATAGGGACGTATCTGTGAGTGTTAGAAAGATACACATGTCATGGCTCGTCAACCATATTTACCTTTTCATAAAGTGCCTTTGTGTTCCAGCAATTTGCTTCAATTAGGCTCATTATCTCAGCCCAAGGCGTCTGGTGATGGCAGCAGTTCCCTTGGGGAGAGGGACAGGCAGCAGCTCTGACTGTGTACCTACTTATCAAAGGCTGCTGTGGCCCCTGTGCTCAACCTTCATTGCCCTTGACAATGAAGGGTGTTAGCAGGCAGAGAAACAATAACTTTCAGGCAAACAGTGCTGTTCTGTTTTTCCTTCCTCCGTACTTTGCATTCAACTTTCCCTTCTAGTCTCTAGACTTGTAGTCTCCATCTCTTATATATAGTTGGAAAAAACACATTGTTAGAACAGGCATTACTAGGAGAAAGGTCATAGCTGAAAATGTAGCCTGAGAATTGATTTCAGCCATTCACCTTAATGGTAGTTTATTCAAGAGGCAATGTTGAACTCAGAACAATAGCCTCTGGCTACATAGTGAGACAGAAGCTGAAATAAAATGAGATCAAACTAATGACCTCTCACACTCCTAAAGAGAAAACTGGGGATGACCTTCAGCTAGTTCTGTTTCATTTCTCTTTTCTCAGTCTGCTCGTATTTTCTTCAAGGCAACTTTCTCCAATCTGGTAACCTCAAAATATATGGGTTACAACTCTTAGTTCCAGCTGTCATGGGATTGATTGTGCATTCTAGAGATAATGGGAATTGTAGGTAGCACATCTGGAAAGTTGGGGAAAGTTTACTTATGGAGTGGGAACCAAGTAGGTAAAGGATCTGCAACAAAACTATGGGGAACTGAGCCAGGCTTGAAAATTTGGCACATGGACAAGTATATATATAATATATAATATATAAGTATATATATAATCTGAACCAACCAACCTATATGATCATCTGATACTTTGGCTTGCAGATCCTTCTCTGAGCATTTCTGGTATGACTGGGTCACACTTGTGTAACAGCACAATGGCCTCTACAAAACTGGTGCATTTACCAGATAAGCTTTTCCTCCCGGTTCAAGTATTAAAAACTCTTTGTTGCATTCCTAAAACAGAGTCTTTGGAAGAGAATTACAGACAGACTCATGCAGAAAAACTATTTGACTGCCAAGTGTCAAAGTGGGTTGAGGAGCTTGGGTGACATGTAAAGGTTGATCACTTAACCTTTTCCCTTTTTCATTAGTTTTCTGCAGCTTCATGCTGATATTTGCCAATTAGTGAGTTAAATTGTGCTTCCATGAAGCTATTCCCAATGCAAAGATCTTTCTCCAGGATCAACCAACTGTATTTTTCTTTTGCAGAACCTACATCTATCTTTCAAAGAACTGAAAATCCCTGCAAGACACTCTTGTTATTCTCAACATAGTTGAGAAACAGAAGCTGAAAGTAACTTTGCCAAAGTCAGGCAGTACATGTATGACATGGAATGGAACACAGCCCTTCCTTTCCAAGATAACTCCATGTATGTGGAAGTGATTCGCCTTTTCCTTGTTGCTTTAATGCTTCCCTTGCTTCCTGATTCTTCTCTCGCACTGGTGTAAGAGGACTTGTACATAAGAAGAGATACATTGCATCAGGCCAAAAGGCCTATTTAGTTCAATATTCCTATCAGATGCATTTGGGGATTCCACAAATAGAGCATCAGCACACTGTTATTTCCCACTCACATTCTCCAGCAATTAGTATCACAAGTCCTACTGACTCTATTACGGAAAGTCTTATATAGCTAATGATTGGAAGCCTTCCCTTCTAAGAAAATGCAACATGGATTTAATAATGTCCGCGATGGAGATTGCTGGAACTATCCTATTTACTAGTAACAGAGACAGTGGATTTTTCTAAGACAAGCCAGCGAGTCAGTGGCAGGAAAATATTCTGTACACCCAAGGCATGAGAATTTGGGTAGGATGGGTATAGGAAAAAAGGAAGCAGGAATAATGGGAAGAAAAGTGGGTGATAGAAAGTCTGAGGTATTAATTGAAGTCTTGAATTCACACAACACATTTAGCCATGGTTAAGTTAGCTATGATTTTACGGAATTATCTCAATACCATAGGTTCATACAACACATTGAACCATAAACTAACTACGTGAGCTGGTTTTGTCCAACACACAGAGCTACTAAATAGCCTGGTGAGTCGTGGCAACTCGGCCTCAGAAACTTCTGTTTTGTTCATTCTGTATTACAGGCAGTGCATTTCAGGGGCACATCGTAAGGATGGGCATGCATGAAGTTATTCTATGGCTGTTCGTGCTCAGAAGCAACATTTTTATGCACATACCAATTTTAAAAATAAGAACATATTGAGAGAGAGATTGTGGAGAAGTGCTGCATGACTGAAATAGGTAATCTCTGTACTTGTTCTTTAGAGTTGTCTGGGTCAGAATGTTTCAATGCCCCTGGAAATGCCAGAGGAATTCTTCCATGCCTATTCTGGGGAGTACAGAGTCTTGGGCTTTGGAAGAGGCATTGCATAATGGCAGAGGGTGATGATTACCTGTCTGTTGCAATGATTCTAATTTAAATCTGTTGCATAGCTTTCCTCTGAAGGTTAATACTTCTGATGAATGTGACCAGTGCAGGACATCTGTTCCTGTCCATGTTAGTAAATGTAGTGTAGCCCAATCCCTAGGTAAGATGAGCTGTGATGTGTATCAGGAGGAACTGTCCAGGTTGCCAAGACACATAACACCGTTTATTGGGGTTTTGATCCCCGGAACATTGGCACTGACATCACAGACACAGAGGCAGCCCTCAGCAAAAATCGATTTACAGAATCACTCAGGACAGAGTCATCATGGGAACAAAAGGAGCAAGTGCTTCCACAGCACAGACGCAATGGCACAATGTCAATAACATCTTCACACCTGAGTGAGCATTACTACGGCTGCATAATTGAGCTTTGCAGGCAGCACTTTTGGTACTACACTGCCACCTACCACAAAACAATTTGTGAGTTACCTGATAACCCAGGGCGGGCAGTTCACAGCAGCAACACGGCCAGTGTTTGCCTATTTATTTTCAGACTGTTTTGGATTGTGGTTGTGGTTAAGTGTAGGATGAGAGCATTTTGCTGCCCAGAGTCCTCTAGCTCTCATTTCTACCCTCCAGGCAAGAGGGACATCACGGCATTACTAAGTGGCTTCCTGCAGCCACCCAGATGGTCAGGAGGACAAGTTATGCCCCCAACTCTCCAAACAGTCACCACCCCTGTTGTAGACCACACTTCCTTCAAGAAGCATGGCCATTATTACTAAGGTATTACTACTCCAGAGGCAAAATGTGAAGGAGGAATCTGGAAAGCTTGTGCTCAAACAGCCCAAATTCTGCAATTACTAAACTTGGAAATAAAATATTTAGCTATACTGAACAATTATATAACTTTGCACGTTTTGCTGTTGACTTGGTTTTGGGACCTTTTTGGCAGAATTTTCCATCAGGATATAGCATGTTAGGGAATAGCAGTAAGTCTGAATATATACTCCCTTATGACTGATTTAAAAAAAATTGCACAGCCCCTTCTGCACCATTTGTTTGCTTTACCTTTTAGCAAATATTGCTGACGCATTTTCAGCTTGTTCTTTATAAAACAAGGGCCAGAAAGGTTTCTGAGATTCTCAGTTTGATCAGCACTAATCAATGCACAATCTCTAAACTCTAGACTTTCAGACCTCCTAGCCATAGCAGAGATTCTCTTTCCATCCAAAATCCACTTTATGTCATCTCCAACTTTTAGCCTGTACCTCTCCTAGACCCATAACTGGGCTATCACTGACTTGTTCCTTTCTGCTCACCTACAGTGGAGTTCTCCCATGGAATACTATGAATGCAGGCAAGCAGGAGGACAGGAGTCTCACCAGGATGTGCCTATCTATCTCAGAGAGAATAAAATCAGGCGCTGACCTATCAGTTCAGACAGCCAGACATTGGTCAGTTTCCAGTCACATGTCCCCCTCAGTGTCTCCTGGGCTTTCAGCTGCCATCCTTGCTCTGCAGTATGGCTGTCTTATGGGAAAAGAATCAAGGGGTCCCATCTGCGGGAGGCAATGGGATGAAGTGCTTCAGAAGTTGCTCTCTGCCACCATGTCAAGGAATTCATAGCAAGGAGGTTGTTCATTCACAGCCAGATTTTCACTGATGCTGCAGCCGGTCCGCTCCAGATACTGTGTGCTAGTATGTACAGTTGCTTGGCTGCAGCTCAGACCATTGAGGTAGTTGCCAACCAGTTTGTGCTTCTTGCTGGTGCTGCTCCTCCCGTTACGGGCATTGGGGGTGTTGCTGTATGTATGTTTGTACTCTTCTTCTATGTCCCGGCCAAGTTTCCAGCGTGTCCATTTCTTTGTGAGTTCCGACTGTACCTATAGGAAGGACCCACCAGAAAAAGTTGGCTTTACTACCCTTTTGATACCATTGTTTATAGCATCCTGCTTTTCTTGTATACCCCTACACCTCTGTCTGCAGCATATGATAGAGTATGGAAATGAAAAAGGATGCTGGATCTTGCAAATGAAAAAATGCCTTTAAATAATTTGATGTGTAAGGCAGCTACAACTACAGCTAACATTTTAAATCCATACAGTATGTTAGATTTGCCTAAATACACTGATGTTTGTTCTTTTGGCAAAAAGTGGAGTCGAGGTGGATATTTGTTGCAAAACCTTGCAAAACTGATATGAAAGATTAGAATCTAATGGGGGTGAAGAGATATGGAGGAAAGTAACAGGCAAAGAAAAATGTAAGCCTCACTTTCCTGCTGCAGTTTTGTTGGACCAAGCTGTCGTTTCAATGCTAAATTTCATCATAAAGAGCAGCTAGCTGCAATAGAAAAGGGTGCAGGGAGAATAAATGTGTTTCATGCTGAAGTAATCCAGCTATATTTCCAACAAAAACTGCACAGTAGGGATGTTCTGACTACTAAAACCCAGTTCTGTGGTACAGCCACACATAGATGTGTGAAGTGAAAGCTATAGTTATGGCTGCCCTTTTAATGGCTTCTTGATGGGTGGACCAGTGACACTACTTCAAAAGGACATTGTTCGGAGCTCTACCACCATTCCAATGATTGTGGCTTGAAATTCTGGACCCCTCATAATTCAGCCACAAGGGGAAAAGCCTGTGACCCATATTTCTCTGTCCCTGTTTAGTTTAAGACTCACCTCTTTGTTCACAAAGCAGTAGAGAATGGCCACCAGCATTCCCTAGTGATAGAGAAGTCTAGTTATCAACATTGTAATAATAATTTCCAATAATAAAATTATACAGTAATTATACAGTAAGATATGGCTCTTACTGTTGTTTTTTGGAAGAGTCTGAGCATTAGTACAGCTCATGTGTCTCACCTGAAAAGAGCCAAGAAAGAGGTCAAAGAACAGCTTGACATAGCGCAGTGTGCCCTGGGCTTGCTCATCAATAACAAAGGCAAAAACCATCTCATGGATGCCCAGCAAGGGAATAAGAGTCAGGGTTGACTTCGCCAGCCTAAGTGAACAGCAGGTGATTAGGCCTCATCACAAGGAACAACACTTAATCAGATGTATAAGGAAGAGGAGCACAACCTCTTGGGGTGGGGGACAAGCACTGGACTCAATCTTATTGAAGTACACCAGGAACTGCATTCCGGAAACTAGGCAGGTCCAAAACAAAAAATTGAATTTGACACAATTTGAATTTAGTACAGTTACTATGATTGTTTCTCATGCATATAAGAGTTTCCTCATTTTGTCACATTAAACATTTTTACATGCAAGTTTACACTCAGTGTAAACATTTATGGGGAGTCACACCAAAAGCTGGCAGGGGCTACACAAGCCTTGAAGTACTGAAGGCTATTTTAGTAACCTACAGATCATGGTGCTGGCCCCCAAATCCTACCCGGTGGAGGGGACTGCCCTGGATAGAAAGCCCAGGATGTCATAGGGAGGGTGAAAAAGAATGTTCCTTTCCCAAGTGCCAGGAACCAATACCGAAACTTGTAGTCTGTGTATCGCATCTGGTGGGCACGGAGCTTAGAGACCAAGATCTGAATTATACGGATGAAAATGAAGAAATTGATCTGAAAGAAAGAAAAAGAAGCAGAATGACTGAGTGGCAGAAAGGTGTAGCATTGCAAGAGTTGATCAGAGAACCACGCACAGTAAAGTTCTAGAGGACTCTTGGATATTATTGTAGTTGTAATTTAATTTCTCACTCTTCCCAAGTTTGCAATGATTGTTTTGTAGCTTCCTATTCAGGTACTGATAATTTCTATCCTTAACTAGCGCTAGCTATAAGGTTAGCTTTCCTAGAGAAAATCTTTCAAATGGCCACTAGTCATATTTTATTAATCACATGTTGGGGCTTAAGCATTTAAAAAAAGTGATATAGAAACACTGAATTGTGCTACCCACAAGAAAATGTACGTTCATTACTGGAGAACTTCTAGTAATTTTTCCAATATACTAATGTGGCTCTTAATAAGATGATAATAACTCTTAATAATAACTCTTGTTTAGTTATCACATCCAGATAGGCCGAAATCTTCAGCTGCTACACATACAGTAAGTGGTCACTCAAATGTGGATGGGGATCTGGTGCTCAGACCACAGCACAGTTCCAGGAGCATGAATTATGCTTCTTAGCTCATGGGGTGGTTTCAATTAGGGCTGTATAGCATTTTGCAGAGCTGATCATGTAACACTAGCTGGCAACCTCTTAAACCAAACGTATCTTTTTGCAGGACCACACTGCAGTTATGGAGGACAGTTGTGCGTTTCCAGGAAAAGATTCAGCCATTTTATGGAACTGCTGACAGGCCTTTATATGAGCACTCCCTGTCCCATGCATTTTCCCTTCTAATCTAAAGCATTACATGGCCCTAGTTCTATTCTCTTTATGAATAAACAATTAGGATCAAGTTATACCCCACCCCACCCCCAAATACACATGCTTATATGCACACAAGGGATATTATTATTATTATTATTATTATTATTATTATTATTATTATTATTCACAGAAAATAAAAGGAGAAAAAGCCCACTTATTATAAAAATATCTGTATCTGGGGTC